CGAGCGAGCGAGCGAGCGAGCGAGCTGCAGCTGAGAGAAAGCAACGACTCGACAGCCCAAGCCTGAGAGCGCCTCACGGCCATCAGCGGGGCGCCGCCGAGAACGGCGGCTCGCTCCGCATATGCGAAGAGCGCGGGGGCGTTGGCCACGAAGGTCTCAAGCCCAAGTTTGAGCGCAAGGAGTGCGAGTGACGCCCAAAGCCGAGGCCCTGGCTCCCAAGGCGCAGGACAAGTGTCTCAACTCAGCGACCACCTCCGGTTCGAAAAGATCAAGTCGAAGTGCTAGCTGCATGTATGGCAGGGGGTGTAGCGTGCACCAAAAAACTAACTACGCAAAAGACAGGGGGGTCTGTGAGCGCGTGAACGATGCAACCCCCGAGCACAATACTGCGTACGCTGGTAGATGTGGAGCTGTGACGATTGCGACTCGCAGCAGCGATCTTTCCTGGCCCACCTTGCCCGACTCCTGCACCGAGTGCGCCACGAGCTGCCCGCATCCCAGCACCACCTTGCCGAAAGCGGACGCGCTCGTCGCTGGACTCCAGAGGGCTCCGTGCATAGATGACCCTCACCTCATCACGACGCCAGACAAAGAACTCTGCCGCCGCACAGCTGGCCTTCCCGTGGCAGCAGAGACTCCATTTCAGGGAAGACAAACATCGGATCTCCGCGGCCTCGACCGCCTCCAACTCCACAGGCTCCTCCGAGTCCGCTCCCAGGAGTTCCTGGCAGAAGAGGAAGCCCTGAGGGATCCTTTTTCTCCTCTGCCTCGAACAAGCGAACCCCGGCCGCGATGGAGGACGTGTCCGCCCGGGTTGCGCAGCCAAGCCCCTGGTAAACATCCTGAGAAAGGCTGCCGGTCCGGTGTCTAGCTGCGAGCTCGTCATTTTCGCCTGGGCCACACAAGTGCCGCTTCCATCCGTGGTGTAGAACCTCGGGGGCACGCTCGCCGAACGCATTCCGAACGGGAGCGGGATAGAGCGCCTCCCGTGGAGTGCTCTGCACTCGGAGCCCGGCTCTTGCAGCAAGGACCCGGGAAAAGCTGCGACCAGGTGTCCACGACCTTGCATCAAACCGCTTCTCACAGACTTCGCATTCTTCGCATCTTCGGAGTTCTTTAGAGAACCGAGGAGGCAGCGCACTCCTTTGGGTGACACCTCGCTTCAGTCAGTCTGCGACTCATCGGAGCACGCCATTTCAAGGCAAGTCTTAGTGCCAAGCCGAAGAAACCAGCAGCCTGTCAGAGAGAGGCTTGACTGCGAAACATGGCATTTCGCCCATCGTCGCCGTGGGATGCGTGGTTCGTTCCCCGGTGGCCGTGGGCATGGAGGCTGCTAGGGCCGCTTCATTTCAACCCGATCTCCGGTGATGTGTAGGCTTCGGTTCGACACCGCCACACTCCAAGCCCGCTGGACTCCCGGGAGCAGAGAACCGACCGCGAGACCTAACAGGTCCCCTGTCGTTGCAATGAGCCTTGGAAAAGAGCTCTTTGCGAAGGCTTCGGCTTGCTCCTTTGGCAATGCAGACACGACAGTCTGGCCTCAGGCTCCGCACGAAGTCGCAAAACCAATCGGACTGCTGCTCCTGTTGGCATCTGAGAATCTGTGCAAGGTCCGCGGCTCGTATCACGTCTCTGTGCGTGGCATCGAGCCTCGTCGGTGTAGGAGCCTTCAGCTGGACATTCCAGGTGCTTCAAGAGTTGGCGAGCGTCGTGTGCTTGCATACCTGTCCGCGTGCTACAGGTAGCGGCAGTTTTGGATGCACAAACTTACCAGTGGCCCTCGTCTTGCACGAAGCTATCTTTTTGTCGTGTGCATTTGCATTCTCGGGGGTGCAGGGCGACACCTCCATTGGGATCGAGCGCCGCTAGCTCCACAAAGAAGGCCCACGATATGTAGGCGACCAGCACATCTACATCCTACGGTAAACCTTAGCCCCGGAATTGTGCAATCCTGCAGCCGGTGCCTGTACATGAGTGCATCCGAGTGCTTCGCTCTCAGAAGCTGGCTGCTCAGGCTATCGATTCCTCCATCTTGCCCACGACTCTAGCGTTCTCCACATGGTGCATGCCCTGTCAGTGGTGCACGGCGACCACATCCGACAAGCAAACACTTCAACCAGCAGGCGGTCTCTCCTGCTGAATCGGCGGTGTCACAGGCTCAGTTGGCCATGCCGACTCCTCCGACAGAAGCACAAGAGGGACGGCAGGGTCCACAACAGCAACCTCAAGTCTGCAAGCCGATGTATCCGTCCGGCGTGGCAGTCTTTCGGATCGATGTATCATATGCAACGTCATAGGGGAGAACGTGGTACCTGCTCACATCAGCTCACTCCACCATTGTTGGTGAACTTGCATATCCCTAGCTCTGGACCTCTCAGCTGCCGCGGAGTGCAGGAAGGAATGGTTCATGAATATTCCGTTGAACCTCAGCCGCTTGCAGAATTGTCCGTCTACGCGAAACATGGCACACTGCTCAGTAAACTAAGCACTTGGGACGGACTGGGCCAGCTGCACATTGTAGAAAATCACCCAGAAAAACACGAACATGCCAATGGCGAGTAGAATAACTGCAACTGCCTCAGTTTATGAGCAGCGAACAACTAGAGTCAACCAGGACTTGAGGGCTGCGCTGCGAAAGCCTCTATTGGGTGGGGAGCAATCATGACAACAAAAGCATGCACTCACTCCGTATGGCAAAGCAGCAACGCCAAGAGCAACTTGAGTGCCGGCAACCCGACTCTTGGCACACTGAACGCGACACGCCCACTGCGAATCGTGAAACTACATCACTCCAGGCCAAATAAGGTAGAGGCTGCAGCAATCGCTCCCAGAATGACAGCAAAAATGCCGGCATCTCCTGCACAGTGACAGGAGCATTATTGACATCATGCAGCACCAGAGGGCAGCTCGCTCCATCACAGCCACAGCCGCCGCAATCACAACAGTCACAACATCCTCCTGCACAGCCGGGCATTGCAGCAAAACAGACGCGGCGATAACGGTGGTGAGGAACTTTACAACTTTGACGTTTGATAGGGGAAATGGTATTTTAAAAAACTAAATTCAGGGCTGTTGGATACGAGTTCGGAACTCAGGCTGTGGTCCACAGACCAAAAGGGATATCGGTGTTCAGGGTTGGCCTCGGCGCAGCCAGTCAACTGTGTGCTGGAATGGCCCCGGGCCAGCAACCTACTCGAGAGATCCAGCGGCTCTTCTTCGTCAGGCAGGGGACCCGCTGGTTGGTTTGAGAGGTTTGGGGCGTGGCGTTCCAGCCCTCAATCTTTTCAGACTCCGGGGATCCATTTCTGCGGCTGGGAGTCCCCTCGCGGCTTCGGTGCTTCGCATCGCGAGCTGTAGGTTTGCAACATTTGGGCTTCAACACGGGACTTGCTGAAAAGATAGTCCGATCAATGCAAATTTTCTCCAGCATGCAAAGAGCGAAGTACTTTGTCCGAGGGGATGTGTCGTGATGTGTCGAGCTTCCCGGTCATGTACAACAGTTTCAACGGGCGGGCAGAGGACTTGCGACAACCGCTTTCAGTAGCAGGATTACCTGAGGAAACATCCAAGCCTTCCATGGCATTCCAGGCTGGCTTCTATGCTCGCTGGAGCATGCTCGCTGAAAGTAGCGTGCAGGTGCAAAAAAACTCGTGAAGGCATTACATGCGTGCCAAGCTTCCGTATCTTGCCACTCAAACCGCTGGATTGCAAACATTAGCAGACTAACTCAGCCAGAATCTTTGTGCGGGGAATCTGCCCCTGATGTGCTGGAACCTGATCCAGTCCTGCGCCTCCACCACCAGATCCTTTACTGCAGCATTCACACGCATCGAAGCATCTTGCGGTTCCAATGTCGCAGTTGTAGCAGCAGCCCTGGCAGGGTGTTCACGGGAGCCAGTAGAAAGGTGAGACAGGGTATGAACATCCAGCCTCTAAAGGACAGTACCAGTTCGGACCCGAACAGCAATAGTAGCACCACCTCGGCTTACGTGAGGGCACCAGCCTGCAAGATTTCGACTCATGGACAGGCCGTTCCATAGAATCCCAAATCAGCAAACAAAACCTGCAAAGGCGTAATCCGCCACCCATCTGCCTCCGAGACACAAGCATAATGAGTCGTCAGTTGTATAGCAGCAGTCACCGCAGCAGTCCTGTCGCCTAAGGTGTGTAACTCCGAAGAGGGCGGTTTCAACTTGTTTCATCTCAGACAACTAGGCGCCATTTTTGCAACGAGGCTCCGGTTTCGTGTTCGCAGCGCATTATCAAGCCACGTGCTGCGTCGCGAAGATGCCTGCAGTGCGGCTTGTCGCGCCTGAGAGCACGAAGGCCGCGACCCTCCCGCAGAATCGGACTGGCCGACTTGCTCATGCTGCCTTGCATCTTGTTCCAACTAAGGACTTGGCTGGGCTTCTGTGCCTGAGGATGCATCATGGTGCAAGTGATGCAGTATCCTGCCCTAAGGTCTCTAAGTGACTTAGTGCGCTGACCTGCCTTCTTTGTATCAGCCGGTACAGGAGCATCACGGTGGCAAAAACACCAATGCAGAAGAAGTTGAAGCAACATCCGAGGAAGATCCAACCTCTGTCCGTGTCCTGAGATCTTCGATCCCAGGTCCACAATCAGTCTGAACAAAGTCATGAGGGACATTTCGGCAACTGATGCACTGGAAGAACCAAGGGGAAGGCTGGCATCATGAAGCTGAGCCTGCCGGTGCAACAGGACCATGCAATATCATGCTACACCTGGACTCAACACAGCCGGAAAGTATTGAATTGCGGGTGTTGTGCTGGACAGGATGTGGGGTGATGCGGGTTAGCAGAAGCCACTCTGAAGGCAGACCTTGAATAGAGACGTGGGCCATAGTTTAGAAATCGGCCACATCACACGAAATGGCTCTGAGACTGTAGTAAGCGGGGAGCTTCTGCAGGGAGACGGATGGAAAATACGGAGACTCGACAATCCTATCAGCAGGCTTGCCAGCACGTCGACTTTCAAGCGAACTCTGAAGAAATGCACATGATTAGAAAAGGGTCACCACCATATGACGAAATGGTACCCCTCGAACGATCTGCTTCACGCGTGACAAGGAAAACCGAGGTGATATTAAAGGAGATTCTGGAGGGAGACAAGGGTCACAGGATGCGGCAGCCGGCCTACAAAGAGGATTTGCGCAACACAACTTCAAATCGAGGCGTGTCGCCACATGGAAAGAGCTTCTATGTTTTCCGTGGTGGGAGTACTGAGTACAGGAAGGCAGGAGGACAATGTGAAAGTGTCAGGAAGAAACAAGGTGACAGGGGATTGCATGAAAGCTACTATAGAGGGAGACCGAAGGAGATTATGGAGGGAGATAGGGATGATCAGTCAGCAACGGGCGGTGTTGTGTGCCCGGATCTGTGCACATGAAGAGAACGAGAGAGATGTAAGATCTTATCGGGGAGACAAGGATCACCATTCGGTAAGGCGTCCTGATCAATTGCAACAGAGTGCAGGAAGCCTGCCCCAGTTGATCAGATCAGTGAATTTTGTCGCTCTGATCATGAAGCCGGCGGCCACGGACAGAGCAAGAAAGAGCAAAATCCTTGGATGCAGTCTTGCGCTTGCAACGGAGTGGGGCACCCCCGTTACCTCCACAACAATAGTCAAAATCCGAGTTTCTGAACCAGTGCGATGGAATACACAAACATGTGAACGTGCCGTGGCCGGGCATCTCTGCCCAAGCGATAGTGATACTGGCCTTACAGCTCGGGTGTGCAGAACAAGCAAATTCACCTGAAAGCGGCTCCGATCTGAGCTGTGGCAGCGGCAGACTTCACCTTACTTCAGCACGTCAGCTAGGGCCAGGAATGCATCGCTGTCCTATCGATTTGGTGTGCAACGCGGTCTGTGCAGCTCCGAGGTGCAGCGCGTGATGTTGGCCGGGTTGATGCCCGAGGCCCTCCAGGTGTCCAGGCCTGGGCTGTGCTTCGGAACACTTCGGAGCCGGGATAAGCTCAGTACTGGGCGACCTTCGACAATGGGCAAAGACAGCTCAGATGCTGGCACTTGCGGTGAACAGGCTCTTTGCACCGACAAGGTTTGATGAATTCACCAAGCTCCTACGAGCAGTAGTGATCTAAGCAGATGCGTTAGAGCAAGCATCACGACATGCAAGCTTGACCTCAAAGCTGCGTATGCTCTGTTCTCAAAAGGCATCAGAAAGCCACGAGATTTGTTCTGGTCGAGTCCTGATCTGCCGATTGAAGGCAAATGCGGCACTGAGCCATGGCAAGCCAGGCACTATTGGCACAGGCCGCCGAGCCGCTCGCGCGGCTGCTCTTCGGGTGTGGGACTTAGGGGTTTAGGGTTGTTTAGGGAGGTTTAGAGTTTCGGGTTGGAGTTTAGGGCTCAGGACGGTCTCCTTCATCATTCGCTGACAGCACAAGACTGCCGGCTGAAACGAGTACGTCTTGGGCCAAGCATGCGTTATTGAAAAACAATGGACAGACGGACCTGGGCTAGGACCACGGGCCACACAGCTAGGGCGGCCTGCTATGATCCGGGATTGCCGCTTGTCCACCAGGCACTGCCCTCTGGTTATGTAGACCTGCAATCATCGCGAGACCTCTCTTGGATTTCACAAGCATAGAAAAAGAGTTCGGCTGAGGTCGGTGCAAGCTTAATCGCTTGAAGTCGGCTGGCCACTTTGGCAGCCAACCTAAGCTTTGCTCTTGCCGCACGGGAAGGATGCCGAACCGACAACCCGCCGAGTACTTCGGAAGATGGGCCCGTGACTCCTCAGACGAGACGTAAAATACTTCGCCCCCCGGGCTGGAGCCAAGTGAGGTCATTGACACGATCGCGCCGTCCTCCAAAAGCTCAGTCAGAATCTCAGCACTGCAATCTGCATGCGACTACATCGCCTGAAGCTGGCGCTGCAGCAACTCTTTGTTGATCGAGCGGATCACGCCAGCATACATGTAGTCCACGCCATCACCTCACCACGACTCGAGGACTCCATGAACAAAGGGCACTCGCGGAAGGCAACTGCTCTTAGGCCAGCACGAACGCCCATTGGAGAGGCCGTGAAGAAGTTGGTGCTGCTGATCTGTCAGTCCACGCTGCTCGTGCAACCTCTGCGCAGAAGCTGAGGCCAGGACAACAGAAACAGCTCCGCGAACCTGGGCGATGGACGAGAAACCCTCGAAAGCTGCCGAGCTCCGTCCATCTCTACTAAGCTCTCTGCCGAGAAGAGGCCGGCAGAGGCAGATTGACCTCCGAGAGCGCCCTTGTGGGACCTGAATCGGACTTCCAGATGCTCGGCGAAGCAACGAGGTCACAGCCCGGGGACAAGTTGCGCTTCTCAAACCCGGCCGTGACTGCACTTTCAACCTGCGGGATGGGGCAGGTTTGGACTGTTTTCATGAAATGCACTCGGCGTTGCTGGGCAGCATGCAGACAAAACATGAGCAACTTGCAACTAAGATCAACTAAGCTAACTTGTTTACTCACATTACATGCCAGTCAACCTCATTCGGGCACAGGCCACTTGCCGACGGCACAACTTCAAACAAACCTAGCAGAGCCTCTACTCTTGCGAAGCCAGCTTCTTGCATCGCACACCGGATGGCCTCCCAAGAGAAACAAACTACGCGAAAACGCACTGCCGCGTGCAGTCGGTCAGGAAAACAACGTTGATTCAACAGTCTTGCACAAGAAGTAACAAGATGCAGAGTCAGCCTGCTCATCTATTACTACACCAGAAAGACGATTGCCAACCTGTCCAGACAACAGAAAACAGCAAAGGATAACATGATAACCTGAACCTTTTGCCGTGCAGAGAAGGAAGTGCAGCTGCATCAGCTAATGCATAGCAGATGCAAGCAAAGACTTTTCAACGACTTCTAGCGAGCTCAGCCTGTTGGGCCCTTTCTCACCTACGTGTGAGAATACTGCTGCTGTGGCGCAGCCTCTCTGCCAGCGGCGGCTTCGGTTGCAAAGCCAAACCACCGGCAGCTCACCTTGTCCCACCCGCAGAGGCAGACATGGAAGGGCAGCCTGCAAAACCAAGTAGCGGCAACACGATGCACAAATACAGAGGTGGTGAGGCCGTCAGGGAACAGCATCCGATCCTTTTGGGCGGGCGGTCATGCTAAGCCAACGAGACGCTAGCACGGAAGGATGTCACCACGTTCAAGCCTGCGGCTTCGCGGCTCTATGTATGTACGTGAATTGTCGCGACCCTCGAAAACCACCATTCAGAACTCTCTCCCGACAGTTTGCCACTGGACACACCAATACTATCCAATACTGCTCAACTCCAGAGAGATTCTGATGGACGAACAGGATCCGGCTGTCAAGCAGGCAGACCGTGCCACCTCTGACGAACCACGCTGCCGTCACAAAAGGGATGTTTCAGAGGCGCAAGCACTTGGCACAGAAGGCATCACTAAACTAATTCTCACAGCCCGGGGTAGCCAAATCGGCTCGCCCACTCCTCCACCTCCTTCTTCAGTGCCGTGACCTTGGTATAAGTCGATGCTATGCGGAGTAGTTCGCCCCCGCTTGAAAGAAAAGTGCGACAAGAGCTGGCAATCTCGAAAAACATGGCAACCCAAAACCAAAACCAGGCTTCAGACGCTTGAAATAGCTAGAGATGCTGTGGAGGGGAATGACTTAGGAAAGTGTGAGGTAAGGACGAGACCTCGGAATTTCCTGGGATGGCAGCCTCGAAATCCTTGAGCTTCTTGCCCTTCTCCGCCTGGATTTTCAAGGCGATCTGGCAGCAGCGGTCCAGGAATTCTCCGATCTTCCTGAAGTCCTGCTCGGTGCAGCCCCTGGTGGTCATGGCCGGGGCCCCCACACGGACACCTCCGGGAGACAAAGCCGAGGCATCGCCGTGCACAGCGTTGCGGTTCAGGGTGATGGAGGCCGCTTCGCAGATCTTCTCAACTTTGGAGCCTGTAAGGCCATGGGGGCGCAGGTCCCAAAGCAAGAGGTGATTGTCCGTGCCATCGCTAGCCAGCTTGTGGCCCTTTCCCATAAGGGTCTCTGCCAGCGTCTTGGCGTTCGCCTTCACCGCGCGAGCGTAGTCCTTGAACATGGGCGTGTCCACCTCCAGGAGTTGAGCGGCCAGGGCACCGATCTGGTGGTTGTGAGGACCACCTTGAAGGGCCGGGAACACGGCCATGTCGATGCGCTCCTTGATGTCGGGGATCTTCTCTGTGTACTTGAAGAAGATCATTCCAGCCCGCGGTCCGCGCAGAGACTTGTGGGTGGTGGTGGTCACAACGTCGCAGTGCTCGAAGGGCGACGGATGCTCCCCGGTGGCGACCAACCCGGAGATGTGGGCGATGTCTGTCGGGCTCAACGGTCAAGGAAATGCACGCGTAACGACGTGATCACGCACATGAGGGATTATGAGGGCTTACTCACGCACTGAAACAAGTGACTCCTGACAAGCTCATGTTGGAGCTTCGGGGTAAGAGGCACTGGCCGACCTGCCATCAGGATCGCTCCAACTTCGTCTGCGATTTCACGGAACTTTCCAAAGTCGATGATGCGAGGGTACGCGGAGGCTCCGCAGAGGATCATCGCAGGTCGGAAGACGAGGGCTGTCTTGCGGAGCTCATCGAAATCGATAAGTCCGGTTTCTGGGTGCACGCGGTAGGGCAAAGACTCGAAGTAGATGGAAGTCGCCTGAGCGCTCCATTATATGAAGGCATTCAACGTATTGCCTATCCTCTTTGAAAGGTCTGATGAACTGATCTAAGTGACTGAGATCTTCTTTCGGGCAGTGTAGTAGCCATGCGTCAAGTGTCCACCACTTGGCAGATCCAGACCCATGACACGGGAATGAGGGGGGAGCAGCGCAGTGTAGACAGCGAAGTTGGCTGGGCTTCCCGAGTACGGCTGTACATTCACACCCCAGTTCTTCTCATCAAGGCTGAATGCCTTCAGTGCGCGCGCTTTGCACAGGTTCTCCACCTTGTCAATGACCTCGTTGCCACCGTAGTAGCGGTTTCCTGGCTGACCCTCGGAGTATTTGTTGGTCAGCGCCGACCCAAGGCACTCCATCACAGCCCGGGAGGTAAAGTTCTCCGAGGCAATCAGCTCGATGCATCGCATCTGCCGGGCCTTCTCCTGCTGCACCAGCTCGTGCATCGCAGGGTCTGCCTCCACCAACGGGCGGTTGCCCGGCAGTGCTGGCCGGTTGCCGGCCTTTGTGCCCGTGGTGATGCCTTGGGCCGACACCATGAATTTGGCATCCGCCTCGACTGCCTGGAAGGCTGCTGCCTGGGCATCGCTGATCTTTCCCAGGCCCTTGAGAATACCAACGACGACTTTCTCCAGGTTCAGGGTGTAGAAGTGCAAACCCGGCGCTCCACCCTCCAGCAGTGCTTTGCACATGGCCACGCCCTCCTGGATGCCAAACTCCTGGCGCGAAAGCAAAAGCCTGCAACTAGATTCGCACTCTGGGAACAGACTCGGATCAGGAATCCTTGAAAGCCTCATCGGAAGTGTTAGCCTTCTCCGCCCGTTCCATGAGGCCCTCGGGCACGCGCGTCTTGCAAAGCTCCGTCATCCGCTTCAGCCCACCCAAACCATTCAGGCCTCGGCCCGGCTAAAAAAGAAGCATCCGCAACTGGGAAGAGATTTTCTTACCAACGAAGAAGCTGATGACAGTACTACCAAGAACCACAATCGAAGGCGACTGGGCAGAGCCCTCAGACGACAGAACACCTCTGAGGCAAGTACACATGATGCCGGGCACGATCGGCACCTTGATGTCATACTTACGGCATTCCTTGACGAACTCCAGGAAAACCTTAGCGGAACGCAGAAGAAGCATGGCCGATCAAATCGCTATCGCAGAGATCGTACGCGAGAGACGACTACATCCAATTGTCCTCGCGCATCTCCGGGCTCTGTCTGGGTCTGCAGCCCAACGTTCGGGACTTTGCACCGAGACTTTGCACCAGCTTTAGGGGAGAGATGTTCTGTCAAGCAAAATCGCGGCCTGCCCAGGTGTGGGAATTCCTCTACTCGACCCTGCTCTTCGCCTAACGAGCACAACGTCACACTCACATCTGCGTAATTCGCCTTTCTACCCTGGCTCTCCAGTTGCACCCCCGAAATCGACTATGGCTGGCACTTTCCATGCCTGGTGAGATGGCCGGTCGTTGGCGAATGACTTTCTCTTGCTTCGTCGTAGAGAGAGAGAGAGTGTGTGTGTGTGTGGGTGGTCGACCAGGGTGCGCTCGGCCAGTGGCCTCTCCGGCGCGAAGGCTTAAGGGGCCAACCGCGGCCCCCTCATCCATGCTTGATGCATCACCCAGCCCTCCGCGGGCTCGCCCCCCCAACCAGAAAGAGCAAGATATACTCAATCCGGCGGGGTTGATGGAACACTTGGCAAGGCAGCCCGCATCATTGACCCAAAGCTCTTCTCCTGGCGATCCCTCGCCAGGATACTAAGCAAGGGATGCAAGCACGGAGACAGGAGCAA